GATTAGCAGTGGGCTTTTCAAATATTGTGACCAACATTTCCCTCCCAACCAATGCCATTAAAGGTGATTACCTGGACATTTATGATGTTGGTATTTAACTGCCAAGTTTGCCTCCACTCTGTAAGGGACAGGACGTATCCAGGGATGGTGATGGTGACGTCTGGGACATTCTCTGTAAGGTCTGATTCCATGAGTGTGACTATGTCAGGCTGTTGCTTGCCTAGTCTGTGAGACAGCTCTCCCAATTTTGGCACTAACCCCCAGAAGTTAGTGAGGAGGGCCTTGCAGGGTCGACAGGGCTGTTTCTGCCGTTGTTTTTTCTGGTGCCTAGGTAAATGCCAGGTGATCCGTCCAGGTTCATTTCCTTGAGACTTTATGCAATTGATTCAACTGAATGGCTTGCTCGTCCATTTCAGAGTCAACCACATTGCTGTAGGTCTGGTGTCAAATGTAGGCCAGACCAAGTGAGGATGGCAGATTTCTTTCCCTGAGGGGGATCAGTGAACCAGATGGATTTTTCCAACAATTGGCAATGGTTTCGAGGTCATCAGTAGATTCTTCATGCTAGATTTTTTTGTTGAATTCAAATCCCACCATCTGCCTGGTCTCTAGGACATTAGCCAATTTTCTGGATTAATAGTCTCGTCATAATACCACTAGGCCATTACCTCCTCAGTTGAGGACATGAAATATACTCCTTTATTCATCACAGATGTAACATGGATTACCAACAGTTCAAAATTCAACATTGTGGAGTTGTTTCTCTGTCTGAGCTTCAAGCGTTTAAAAATAATTTCACTTAGCAGCAAACTTCAAATTTAACTTCTGTTGGCTCACTGCTGCTTTTCCCAATGTATGTTTTAAAAAAAGCTTTTGAAACTAGGAATATATGTCACTTCAAAAAGTAAGCTTTGCTGTACTGACCCTGTAAGTAATGCAAGCAATAAGGAAAGGAATACTCTCCCAAACACTCATCTCTCGTATATTCATTTGCCTCTGTTATAAAGCTCACATAGGACATTCACAGTAAACTCTCTCTGATCCTCACCACCCTCCCCCACCCCTTTTAGAACGTAAAACCATCATAATGAATGTTCGAAACCAAATCAAAATTGCTGGAGAAACTCAGCAGGCCTGGCAGCATCTGTGGACAGAAAACAAATTTTCTCCAGACACTGCCAGACCTGTTGCATTTCTCTAGCAATTTCTGTTTTTGTTTTAGATTACTAGCATCTGCAGTTTTTAGTTTTATTTTAATGTTGAATGTTTACTGGAATAGAGTTTTCCCGATTTGTTTAAATTCCTGCAGTGATGAAAAATTCTGTGATGATGCACTTTATCGATAACATGTTAAAATGAAAATCACAACAAGGTGATGGGAAGGGTAGAGACCAGGGCAATGTCAAAATGCCCTTCTTAACCGACATTGGTTTTATTCATTGCATAAGGTCAGAATCTTAATCTGATAACAAGGGAGCAAAGAGCAAATAAGCAGCAACTAAATTATGCAAAGTGTTAGACCTGAGAACTCAAAGGAAGTCTAAGAATAAATGAGAAGTGCTGGTTTATGGTTGAGAAGCTGACAGAAGGTGTGAGGTGACTTATGCATTAGATTTATACTGCTGTCTGAATGAAGTAAAACATAATAACATTTTAGCTGAAAATCTGACACCTTGTGGGGTCTGGATTTAAAACTAATTTCACCCACAACTGGCCATGGGCCTGTTGAAATGCATTTATAACATAGATCATGGTTTTGTATTTTTATTGCCCTCTGTGGTTACCATGGTAATTTAGAAGGAAACATGTCTTCATGAATCAATTAATATCAATCAATCAATTCCAAAATGGGAACTGTAAGTCTAGGGTTTTTGCTGAACCAATATTATCACATCTATACTAGGAATGTGTTTTTTAAAAAAAGGACCATTAGAACTTGTCTCCAGCCTATTTAAATTGTCCCACTTGGATGCATACAAGCACTAAAAAAGGGTGAATTAATGTTGAGAAACTGTAGTGCAAATGCCCTCATGGAACCCTGTCCACTTAAGCTGGTTCAATGGCCTCCAATGATCCATCTCTGGCCCTGGGGTCTAGGAGAGAGTTCCATCATGGAGATTATTAACAGAGTCTGACTGCTATTTGTTCAGAAACTGACAGCTGATTTAATCTTGCATTGATACTAACTGTTAACAGTAAGAGTTTGCACAGACATCAGAAGATTATCACTGTTCGAACCGTACTCTGTGTGGAGATGGTGGTTCGTGAAACATTTGCAAAGGCAGAAATCTATTTGAAAGTGCATTTAAAATGCAAGCTGCAAACCTAAACCATGACTATGACACAGTAGTTCAAATGTATGAAACTCACTGGAAGGAATTGTGTGTGTTTGCAGTTTAGTCAAAAACAGCCTTTCTAGTTGATCAATTTAAGTGATCACACAACTACACTGAAAATATACATGAATGTGTACAGGGTTTGCTTTGTTCATTAGCCAGTCCAAAACCATGTGTTACTTGCCTGTAGGATGAAACAAAAGGAAAATTACTGAATTTGTTGGTTAAAGTTGTGAACCTTCAGGATTGAGTTGGAATTTTCAGGAATTTAACCTCCAGGACACTACTATGAGCAACCCAAGAGAATCATTCTAGGAATGTTAAAAACTTTTTTCTTTATTAGTTTTAAAGATTCTGGAGTGAATGCTAAATTGTGTGAGCCTGATGCAAACTCCAGAAATACAAAGAACAAGAATTTGAAACAGTTGATTAATTTTCTGTCCAATATATCAAGGACATATATAGAGAAAAGGAGGAGTTGGGACAATTAGGGATCCAAAAAGAAAAGAGATTTGATGGATGGAGGTAGCTGAGGTTTGAATACTTTGTACCTGTCTTTGCCAAGGAAGATGATGTTGGGCAGGTTGTGGGGAAAGTGGATTTAATCAGATACTGGAAGAATTTCAAATTGATAAAAAGGAGATATAAAAAGGCTATGTACCTAAAGTTGATAGGGCAATGGGACCGGATAATTTGAATGCAATGATACTGAGAGAAGTGAAAATAAAAATTGCAGAAGTCCTAGCCATATTATTTCAGTTTGAGACTCCAGGGTAGTGCCAGGGGCTTGGAGAATAAATGTTTTATGCTTGTTCAAAATGTTATATACTTGTTAAAACATGTTATAAGCTGGGGGGGCTTTTTTTTCGAAAGGACGTAAAAATAGTCCCAGCAACGACAGGCCTGTCAGTTTCGCATTAGTTGTGGTGAAGCTTCTGCAAATGATAATTCATGACAAAATGTAAAGAAAGCTAACACTGATTTATTAAGCACAAATCATGTTTGTCTGACTTGCTTGGAGTTCTCTGAGGTAACATGGAAAATTAATTAGGGTAATGTTGTTGATGTGGCGTATGTGGGATACCAAAAGGCGTTTGATACTGAACAAAACAGACTTGTGAGCAAAGTTATCACTCTCAGAATAAAAGGGATAGCAGTGACAGGGATATGAAATTGGCTGATTAGTGGACATTTATTGGACTGAAGGTTTATAGTACACTTTGCTATAGGTTGTTGCTGGGAACCTTGCCCTTGTATATTTACTGATCTTGTCAATTCTTTGGTGTACAAGACAAAATTTCAACACTTGCATTTGATACAAAACTTGGAAACATTTTGAACACTGAGGAGAGCACAGTAGAACATCTACTTGATGTGGACAACTTGATGGTATGGGCAGACAAGTGATGGACGAAATTTAATGCAGAGAATTGTGAAGTGATTCGTGTTGGTAAGAGGAATGTGGATGAACAATATAAGTAAGGGGAGCAATTCTTAAGAAGGTGAAGGATTAGACGGACGTGGATGTATGTGTGCACAATTGCAAGTGACCGGACAAGATGAGAGAACGGGTAACTCAGCATGAAGCATCTTAAGCTTTATTAATAAAGTAAAGGGTTAAGTTAAATGTGTAAGGAAAACTGGTTCAGCCTCAACTGGACTATTGGGTTCAGTTCTGGTTGCTTTAATTTAGGAAAAATGTGAAGGCATTATTGAGAGTGCAGAAAGGATTCATGGAAATGGTTCCAGGGATGTGCAAATTGAGTTATGTTGAGTGATTGGAAAAGCTCGCATTGTTGTCCTCAAAATTATGGTTGAGAGGAAGTTTGACAGAGATATCAGAAATCACAAAGTACTGCACAGAATAGAAAGGGGAAATCTGTTCCCATTGGTGGAAGAATTGAGAGGAAGATGGTACAGACGTAAGATAATTGGCAAAATTAATGGAATCAAAGGAAGAAATGTTTTCATGCATTGAGCAGTTGGCAACTGGAATGTGCTGTCTGAGGGGGTGGTGGAGGAGGCAGGTTTCATCGAAAGGGAATTGGATTCTTAATTGAACAGAAAAAAAATGCAGGACCACAGGGAGAGGGCTGGAGAGTGGAACAAGGTACAGTGTTCTTTTGGAGAGCCAAGGAAGTCAAGTTGGATTGCATGGCCTCTCCTTCTGTGCTGTAGCAATTCTTGCACAGCGACTCAGTATAAGTAGGTGCCTCTGGCAATTGTCTGTGCCAGTGGAACTTTGCATAAACTTACTCAGGTATATTATCTTCAAGATTCTCCTCAGTCAGTTACTATATCAGGCTGAGGGATACTCTCACCCTCATTCAATTTTCCATGTGCCAGGTATTCAAAAATATAGGTGATAGGGTAGAAATAATTTGGGCAGTGATGTGATCTGGGTTCAGTTTCATTGCAGTCAAACGAGTTAGTTATCAGATGCTGCATAAAACTGGTGGCCAATTCACCAACACTGTTTGGGTCACCAATTTTCTACCCCGATGTGTGTCTTTTGAATCCACCTTGCAAACATTGGTTAGGCGCAAGCTTCACAGCTTGACTTTGTGTTCATTTATTAATGTTAATGTTGAGAGATTTTGTGCTGGTGAGTGTGGGATTTATTCTGTTTGCATTTAATAATCAAAGTTTGTTTTTTGCTTTTAGATTGTACTGGAACAAAGCACGTAATGGTTATAGCAATGTCACAGTGGCCTGGCACATCCCACATACTGCAGAGCTCGGAATGTACAAAGTGAGGCATTTTGGCCATTTTAAGACACTAAAGTTTCTGAAACCAGTCTTCACTCCTTATGAGGGCTCCTCTTCCCCTTTTGAAGTGAGAAAGTGAAACGCATAAACCACTAAAAATTATGTCTACATTTTGCAATTTAAATTTTATTTGATTTTTACCGTTGGGCAGTGAATTTAAAAGAAAATAAACCTGTGCATTATACTCATGGTTTGGTTGAATGATTTGCTATTGATTGTTACCAAGCATGTTTCCAAGGTAGATATAAGATGGGAGATTCTCAAATGGCACAAAAGCATTAATAAATTGGTGTAACATCTGGAAGATTGCTCAACTTGCCCACGCTGAGTGTGTAGTCAATAATTAGTCACTAAAATAAATGAAATAATAATATTGACAAAGCTGATCTTTTTTCATAACAAATGGCCTTGGGTCAGATTGGAAATATTTTCTAACGCTCTTATGTGTTGAGGTGAAAAGGAGAACTGAGCAAATTTAAAATACTTGAAATTGTACCCATCATATCAAGTAACAAACAACTGCACCTCCCAGTCGCGAACCATTTCAACTCCCCCTCCCATTCCTCAGACGACATGTCCATCCTGGGCCTCCTGCAGTGCCACAACGATGCCACCCGAAGGTTGCAGGAACAGCAACTCATATTCCGCTTGGGAACCCTGCAGCCCAATGGTATCAATGTGGATTTCACAAGTTTCAAAATCTCCCCTCCCCCCACCGCATCCCAAAACCAGTCCAGCTCGTCCCTGCCTCCCTAACCTGTTCTTCCTCCCACCTATCCCCTCCTCCCACCTCAAGCCGCACCTCCATCTCCTACTGACCAACCTCATCCCGCCCCCTTGACCTGTCCGTCCTCCCTGGACTGACCTATCCCCTTCCTAACTCCCTACCTACACTCACCTTTCCTGGCCCCATCCCCGCCTCTTCGACCTGTTTGTTTCTTCTCCACCTATCCTCTCCTCTATCCCTCTTCTATTCGCCTCCCACTCTCTCCCTATTTATTTCAAAACCCCCTTCCCCTCCCCCTTTTCTGATGAAGGGTCTAGGCCCGAAACGTCAGCCTCTCTGCTCCTATGATGCTGCTTGACCTGCTGTGTTCATCCAGCCCTGCACCTTGTTGTCTCGGATTCTCCAGCATCTGCAGTTCCTACTATCTTTGATTATATCAAGTCATTACCTGGAATTCCCTTTGGTGATAATTGCAACAATTGGGCTAATCCCCAAGTTTCCTGGAGCAGGATTGTCAATTAATAAAACAAAATTAGATTCAATTAGTTGTATTTGATTTGGCTTTACTAGTTGATACCACACAATAATTAACATTTGCACATTATGTTTCTGTTTAATTACAGAAGCAGTATTATCAAATCGAGTACAGCTCAGTTTTCTAAACCTCGAATTAATCGCGCTAGTATTCAGTAGTAATTATCTTCCTTTACTTATGATATCAAGATGTTGTTATGATTAGGATTATAGACATTAGTGCACAACAAAACACTTCATGTCATTATATTTATAGATTAAAAGACACTTGTAATGATTGACATTAAAAAGTAAGGGCTTCTCAAGGGTTTGAATAAATTTATTAGATGTACATGTAGAAAGTGCACACACTGTTTTTCCAGACTGTCTACTCACAAATGTACAGTTCAACAGCTTTAAGTTGTAGAATGATGCATTACATAGTTATCTTGACTATATTTCGAGGAAAGGACAAATTCAAATTATTAAACTGAACAAGTAATGTACAAATGCATCACTTCTTTGCGGTGAATTTTGCTAACGTGGTCAAAACTCAAACGATGTCCACACCTTGCCAACATTCTACTGTAGCACCCTGTTCGAGGCAACCATTTTGGATGAGTTGTGGTATGTTCTATCAATCAGTAATTGTCATATTAAACTCAATTTAAATATGTTAGTGAATGTTATCGACTGGTAACATGATAGTTCCACTGCCTTCTAATGAGTATACATTGAATTTATCCCCTTGGCATTAGTCAGATCGCAAGTGGACCTAAATTGTATTTGCTTTAATTTGGAAAAAAAAGCAAATATTAGAAAATAAAACACCATCTCCTCGGGAGCAAGAACATGTCATGACTTATTGTAAAAGAAAAAGAATGCTTTAATTGTGAAAAAAGATATTGAAAACCAGGTCAATATGTTCTTACTAAGAATTTTTGGGAATGAGCATTAGGTGTACAAATCTGAATGCAGGAAGCCTGTCACAAGATTAGGCATATAAGGAAAGAAAGATCATAAAAAAATAGCCCGGATCTTCGGTCTCGACATATTTGGAGCCTGGATGTAACTTGAAAGATTTGTGCAACAGGACCTCTGAGAAAGCCTGATGCATTACCCAGAGGCTAATTGTCAAGGGAGTGCAAACTTCCAATGGGCAGTTATTCAGCATCTGGACCAATTCAAAAAAAGACCTTGGAGGGTCTCGACTGACTTACATGAATAGTTAGCCTGGGAAAGTTAAAGGAATTAAAAATTTGCTTGATCTCCTGGTTAACTACAGAAATGTAGTTCACACCCCAGTCAGTAATTAGGCTCCCCCACACCCCAATTCCCAAATATCACCCAACTCCCTAGTTGGACACCAGCCTCCAGATTCCTGGCCCTCATTCCCATGGGCACCCAATCAACTCCCCTACTACCTCCACCTCACCACCCCCCCCCCCCCCATCCCCATGGACAGACAACACCCCAAACCAATCTTCCCAGCCCCTCCCTGACCTCCAATACCTGACCCCCTTGCTCCTGCACGTGGCACCGCCCCAACCCACCCCACCTCCCTAATCCCTGGCAGTCCAACTTCCTGCCTGCACACTAGATCTCACTCCCACCATTCCCCCCCCACCCCACATCCCTCCCCAATGATGCCTATCTTATTCTATTCTATCCTATCCTATCCCCTCATTCATCATTTGTATTCCCTTACTTGCGATCCTACAGCCCTCATCCACCTGGCATCCTACCTTCAAATGTATAAAACTCTGCCCTTCCTCCCCCTCAGCTGTTGCCACCCTACCCTATCACCCACTTGGCATCCTATACAATCAATTACCTGGCAGCCTAACCCTTCAGCCACCCCTCACAAAAATAGCACCCTGTGATGCTAACTCAATGGTTACTCCACCCCATTACCGACTTGGCACTCTATCTCCTCCCCCACTTGCCAACCTATCCCCAGAATCCTGGCTTCCAGTATTTACTGGGTGTTGAGTGGATTCCTACAATGGAAACATTTGGGACAGGCCAGGCTCGGTGATCTGGCCATAAAATTGATTGCCTGGTAATTGGCCATCTGTCATAGGATTACCATCAGTGACCCATTGTGTGTCAACCTACAGCATATGCACTACAATGGTTCAAGAAGGCAGCTCACCACCACCTTCTCAAAGGCAACTAGGAACAGGCCTAGCCAGCAATGCCCACATTCCAAGAATGAATAATTAAAAAAAATCTCTTCTGACAGTAGTTGTAAAGATCCATACCAATATTATCTTGACTGATAAACTCCATATGCCTCAGAATGTGATTGGAATTGAATGTACGGTTTCAACAACACTATAACAAGAAAATTGAGGCTCCACTTAAACAGAAAGCTGTTGATTTTGAATATAATCTCAATATGCCTGACTGGGATTCCTCTGTTTTAATGCAGATGTTAACTGCAGGTTATACAATGGCTGCAAAATCTGCTCAAAAAATTGACTACTCCTACATTTTTCAAAATAGCTTTCTGGTTTGTAAGCTAACTTTTATATGCTCAGTATGCTTTTAATAAAGTGTATTGAATTACCATCACTGTTCATTTGTATAGCATCTTTTAATACAGCACAATGTTCCAAGATACTTCAGAGATGTGTAATCTGACAAAAATAGACATTACACCGGAGAGGTAGATTTGTAAGGAAGGAGAGGAATGGTTAAAAAGGGGTCTTGAAGGAGGAAGGGCAGCTATACAGCTGAAGGTGTTTAAGCAAGACTGGAGTCAGCTTACCAGAGGGTTCTGAATTTGGAGAATGTGGTAGCTGATGTGCACAGTGTGCAGGCCTGAAGAAAGCTACTGAGATGGGGTGGGGTAAAACCATGGAATGATTTAAACCTGAGGAGAGTTTTAAATTGTAGTCATTGAGACCACAGGAACCAGTGTAGCTCAGCAAAAGCTGGAGTGTTGGATGAGCATTATTGTACACAGGTATGAATACTGTGGAATGCCGAATCACCACCTGATAATGTCATATGGACGTGTGGGCAGTACTGTTCAGGATCCCGAAGGAGTGAAACCCAGCATCTGAAACTCCTCAAGGTGCCCTCAACAATGTCTGCTATACCAATTTAACCTGTAAGTAGTTCCAATATATCACAAACGTTTTGTTTTATGCTTTCACAGGACATGGGCGTCACTAGCAACGAAGCTGATTAACCTCACTCGAGCAAGTGGGCCCCTGCAATCTTTTACACGTAATTTCCATTAACCAATGTCCTGCTTTGACGCAAAGAGCATCTCGGTGATCCCTAGTCTTTAACCTGCTGCAGGAATTTAAATTCCTGATGCTCCCAATGAAAGGGAGTTCCAGTATCATTGTCTTTCATTGAGCATCTTTAATTGAACTGATTCTGGAAACCACAAGCAGAGGTTTTACTCCGACCACAGACAACTGAGAAAGAAAAAACAACAAAGTTCTCAGAGATAGTGGGAACTGCCAATGCTGGAGAATTTGAGATACAAAGTTCTCAGGATCTTCACAAAATGAAACCTTCTCAAAAGGAACAGGAAACAAGCAGAATGTTGGAGATTGCATCTAATCTATCATAAAACACTCAAAAGAAATTCGAGATATTCCTTTGATTGGATTGTTTCAAACTGTTCCCAAGTCCATGTTTTCAGGGTATGTTAATGTACTTACTTTATACATTCCCTAAAACGAAGCAATAGTTTAACTGTGTCCCTCTGTGGTAATTTCATCAAAGGCAGTGCTACATAGTTTGTGTGATTGAGAGAGCAAAACCACATTGACAAAGGATGCTAGGCTAAGTTAAATGTTTGTGAGAAGAATGGCACCAGAAATTGAATTTTCCTTTTGGGAATGTGTTTTATTTTCTCATGCTGACCTTTAACCTTCTTTCTGTTTAGCTGAAACAAATGGGGTTAGTCCTACTGCTGAAGC